AAAAGAAAATCCCTAAGCTAAGCCCATTCTAATATTATCAGGCTGAGGTCTGTAAACATAACCCAATTTAAAAGGGTGGACGGTGTACTTAAATCATCAATTCGTTACTTAACAAGCCCAAGGATTCCGAGGTCAAGACGAAATACACGTCAAGATTTGAGGCAATATTGTAATAAACCCAAACATCAGATGCAATTCGTAATATCCGTAAGCTACTAAAACCCTTGCATCGGCCAATTTCTCCTTTTTGTAAATCCTCAAAAACCCTTTGCAAGGAATTGAGCACGATCGATCGAAAATGAACAAGAAGGAGGTGTTCAAATTGGCCAAGGGATTTCGAGGGCGAGCTAAGAACTGCATAAGGATCGCGAGGGAGAGGGTGGAGAAGGCGCTGCAGTACTCGTACAGAGACCGCCGGAACAAGAAGCGCGACATGCGCTCGCTCTGGATCGAGCGCATCAACGCCGGCACTCGTCAGCACGGGGTACTCTCTTTATCTTCATCGATTTCATAATCTCGTTCGATTGGACCCCCTTTTTTTGGTTTGTTCTCATCGATTTAAGGAAAAAAATAATATTCATGGCTTTTTTTTTTCCGCTATTGGTTTGATTTACGTGTGTTTCTTGACTGATTTCATTGTTTTATATGTCGATCAGCTGGATTGTATTATTGATTCTTTTGGTTTAGGGATAACATTGAGTTTTCATGTGTGTATGTGTTTGTGTGTGTTTTCTTGAAGTAATTTGTTGTATCTGAGAGGTACAGAGAGAATGTGACATTATGAGAATGAGAATTGATTGAAGTAGAGCTGAAATGATTAAGTGTGTGTGATTGTGAAGGAGGTAAGATGATCCGAACAGACCTTAGCTTTGTTGGTTTCCATCAATTGAGGAAAAATGATAATTATGACTTTTTATTTTTTGATTGGTTTGATTTCTGTGTGTACTGGTTTCACTATTTTTATGTCTATCAGTTGGCTTGGAGTATTGATTCTCTTGGTTTAGGAATAACATTGGGTTTCCATGTGTGTGCTTGAAGTAATTTGTTGTATCTGAGAGTTAAACAGAGAATGTAGCATAATGATAATGAATATAGATTGAAGGGGATCAGAAACGGTAAGGCGTGTGATTGTGAAGGTGAGATGAACAAACTCGACTTGTAGTTTTGTTGTCTTGCAATGGGTAATAACCTTACAAAGTTTCGTCTGAATAAATATGTACATGGGCCCGTAATTTTTTTCTTTATACCAGTTGTGTGGGATTTTTTATTCCTTTCTTCTTTATTACTTACTTTGAGCAACATTTTGTTTTCCATCCTGGCACGTAAATGTTTTATAATATTCAGTTGTTTTCATCTGCAATCTTCTCAGAAGCTGGAATGTATGAACTTAATCTTAATCTGTGTAGAGTTTTGAAGCTAGTTGCAATCAGAAGTCAGAACTGAATGTTGCTTATTATTATAATAACAGGTGAACTATGGAAATTTCATGCATGGATTGGTGAAGGAGAATATTCAGCTGAACAGGAAAGTTTTGTCCGAGATATCGATGCACGAGCCATATAGTTTCAAGGCCTTAGTTGACATCTCACGCAATGCCTTCCCTGGAAATAAGGCAAGCGCATCTCCCAAAAAGGTGGGCTTAGCTACTCTCGTCTAAATGGTGGCCATCTGTGCTTAGTGTGTGATATTTTCCTCAATGTAATTGCAGAAGCAAAGCTGAAATAGATGATACTGGAAAATGTTTCTTAAGTATACATTTCTATGCATAAATTTCTATTTCAGCCAGATGCAATTTCATCTTGCAGTTCTTGGTGTGCGCTTATGCAGCTAATCTTGAACTGTTGATACTTTTTGTGTTTTTCTTCCTTCTTGTGTGAAAGAAAGCTCAATATCAGGAAGGAGGTTTCAAACGGCCATGGAATATTGGTGACCCTATTGATGTGGTTTTAAGAGGTGCTTAGATTTGTGAATGAGGAACTTATTTCTCTACGACTAACCGTGCAGTTTGGTACAAAAATGCAGCGAACCACAAAAAAAATAAAAAATCATATCAAATACATATATGTTAGAAAACAAGGCAACTGAATATTATCGGATTTTCGGAAAAAAGCAAACTTATATATTTTCGCATTAAAATAATCGACTGAACTTGCATCACAACTTCCGGTTGGCTCGTGTTTTTGGTTTTCCCTCGATTTCTCTATACTATTATATTTATTTTGGTGTTGGTATGCGAGGTTTACTGAACCGAACAAAATCAGAACTTATGAGAATTAATAACCAAACTGCACCCACCGCAGTGCAGGAAAAAACCAAATCGAAATCGAACCGTAACATTTTCACATTAATAAAAGCAAACTACTCTATACCAAATTGTATGGTTCGGTTTTGCTCACCCCATGGACGCTCGCTGCTTAAAATGTAGGGCTCAATCTCTTGTTTGTAGTGTGGGCTGAGGACCATGAGCTTAAGCCCGAGTCCATATACTTTATCTATGGGAGGAAAGTCATCCCATCAAATCAGCGCAATGAGAAAATTTACCGCCGGCATGAATCGGTATTTTCGACTATGAAAACAATACGATTTCGTGGTGCTACTGAGTACTGTCCATGCAATGTCCGGAGTTGCTTATATCGTTTATTTTACGACTATGAAACAACACGATTTCGTGGTGCTACTGAGTACTGCCCATGCATTGTCGGGAGTTGCTCATACATATGCTATGTACTGTGTGTGTGGACTGTTTTGTTTTGCATACATGCTTCTCTCGACTTTGTTTACAATCATTTTTTTATTTTTTTCAACGCTGAACTGAAATATTCTTTATGTTTATTTTGTGCAACTTAATCAGATGAGAAAATAATGAAAAACCACTTCTCAAACCATATCATTTTAGTTAGTTAACTTATGCCATATGATATCCACATTGTAAATCAACTGTATCCCAATCTGTAAAAATTAAATGAGAACACTGAACACCATATCAGTTTGTATCAACTACACACATCATCGAAATTTACAAAAGTAACGTCTTTGTTAGCCAAGTTAAAAAAGTTCGATTAAAATCGCAAATAGTGAAAACATGATCATCTTTCTCTCATTCCCCCAATCAAGTCATTGTAATATACTAGTATCTTGTAAATTCCTAAAACTCAGACAAAGGCCCCTGGATTAGAGCAGGGAAGAAGAATCAACCATCAAACCATAATAATGCAACTTAATTCACATCATTATTTTTTCGCTTGGTATGATAAAAGCTCACACTAGAAATCTGAAAACCTGCTGAGTTCCCCTACAAAAACCTAAAACTGAATGTACACACACAGAACTTTAACTTTAAAGCAACTCATCTTTCCAACGATTGCAAGATGGGAAAACTCACATTCGAGCTGCATCTTGAGATGGCACTTTCTCTGCACTTTCATTTTCACTGTTCAGGTTAATGTGCTCCTGTGACTTCCCGTTTGATTCCATCTCTTTTTTCTGGTTATCGTTCTTCTTCTGGAAACGCCCACCCATGCCCCTAGCCCTTCTGACTGCATGCAGATGCCGAGATTCATGCAAATACGGCTGCAAAATTGATCAACACTAATCAGACTTCAAATAAATGTTCCGTTAAGAGCAAAATGCATTGCAATTAGGGCTGTAAACGAGCCAGGCCGAGTTCGAGCCCTTAAAGAGCCAAAATCGAACTCGAGTTCGAGCCGATCTCGAGCTTTAATGAGCCGAACTATAGAATATTATATAAAAAATCTCTTTTAGAACCTTAACTAGCCGAGTCCAACTCGTTAACAAACCGAGATTTAAGACAGCTCGAATAAATGAGCCGAGCCGAACTCGAGCCTTAACGAGCCGATTTCACGAGCGGTTCGTTTCGTTTAACAGCACTAATTGACTCATCACAGCACCAGAATTTGACTCATCATTACATGTTATGATGCAGCAAAAGTGGCAGGTCAATACAAAACTCTAGGGCCTGAATGAGTCAAATAATTAAATCAAGGCTGGAACCATTATATCTAAAAATTGCAAACACGTCCCCTCGGCATTTGTTCCTCTTTTACAAACTTCACCCACAAGAAAGGGGATGATTATCAGGCATATACATATCTGAAAGGGGCAATATACAGTTTTGGGAGTCAAACAGAGGACTTTCCTAATCGTGTTAAATATTGAGGGTAGTATTTGTAGTTACCCGTAAAAATGAGTTCGGATTACAAATCCAGAAATTATAAAAAGAAAAAAAATAATAATTAAAAATTGGTATACCTTTCTGGATTTGGCAAGTTTATTTTCTGACTCGGCTTTCGCACGAGACTGTCGACGCCTTAAAATGCCATGATATTGTTTTGCATTGACAAAGACAGGCTCCTCAACTGCTTCTGAAGGGAGAGGAACACCAGCTTGTTGAATACCCATCAACTGCATATGTACCTGAATTAGGGTAAAAATTTACACAACTCAAACTTCCCGGAGAGTCTCATCAAGATAACAAGAACGGCATATAGAAGTACCATTGGCTGGCCAGGATAAGGTTGCGCGGGATAAGGCTGTGTGTCATAAGGCGCAAACATACTTCTGTAGTAAGGGTCTGGGTACGGGTAAGCTGTTTGTCCCTGAAAGAAACAAAGTTCCATGTAAAATGGAGAACCAGCAATTGTCGTGCCATACAAATACTTAAATCTCAAAATATTACTGCAATTTCAAGTACAACTCAGAATATTTTATTCTTACATCACTAGTATCTCCATCAATGCTACATAATACCAACTTTTTTTAACTTCTAAATAGTTTTCCAATAGAATCTTGGTACGGGTTCTCATCCAGTAAGTTAATCAAGACAAGAAAGCAGTAGAAATACATAAGGAATTAATTGGAAACTTGATTTTATACGATTACGTTTGTCAAAAACAGAGGACACTGCAATCAGACTCACAAGTTTGTCATTGTTACTTTTCACACACACACACACACAACTTGATGTAATAACATTACATTTCCAACTCCATATTGAGCAGGAGTTCCATAGTGCATTGCTGGTGATGCAATACCATGATGAGAAATTCCATTAGCTGGAGATGAAGGCTGGAAGTTAGTCTCCGGGGGCTTTTGTTGCTCATCGGCCTCACTGTTATCTGACAATAATTGTCATGAAATACTATAAACAGTAGGAACAAGGACTACAAAGAAAATTTCAATGACAATATGAAGGTGTGAAAGTAAATTGTCAAATTCTACGTAAACACTACTAATCAAAATTTAAACTTACAACTGACATACTCCAAAGCTAAAAGAAAAAAATGGGGAAAAAACAAGAAAACAAGCATTTCACGTATGCACTGACATTACCCGAAAGGCTGTGAACAGAGGATGTCATAATGCCGACTAATACAGGCACGCCTGGCAATCGAGAACCTGAATATCATCAAAAACTAAATCCCAATCAGAACCTGCAACTTCATATGTCGGGTTAACATCATATAAGAGCCACAACACACATATACACTGGCCCATCTATCAATCAACTCATTTCGAATTCAATTATAGCTAATCGAATCAACAAAGCACAATACACAATCCATAAACCCCAGCCTAGATGATTTAAAAATGGAGAGCACATACTAGTCAAAATCAACACATAAATTTCACATTTAACACAATCATTCCAGGAAAAAAACTTCACCTATACTCCTGACGCCAATTAATAGATAATAAAAGGGTTCTCAATTCTCATCCTTTCCCACAAAAAAAGCATTATCAATCATAGATTTTCGTAAACTTCCAGAAATATTTCAAGCTGCTCGATTGAATCAAACACACACACACACACAGAGAAACAAAAAAAAAAAAACTAGGGTTTGGGATTACAAGATTCTACCCGATTTCACGAAGGTAGGGACACAGCTACAAATCCTCTATTTATCTTCGTCCGTTCCCTGCGGAGAGTGCGCGGAGTTTTTTTTTATCTCTGTGCGATTGAAGGCAGAGAGAGAAAATATTGTCTGTATGTGGGAAGAGAGAGATGATGGGGACGACACTGAAATTGCAACGGAAGTGTGGAATTTCCAGTTTTAACCATCGGACGTGATTGATAGCCACGCCGTAATTCTTATTTACCTCTTTTAGCTGCGGTAACTTCGAGAAGGAAGAAGTGAATAACACACGATTGTATAATGTCTCGTTCCATCCTATCTATATATGTGCATCAAAAATTATATGTAACAATTTGAATGATTTTCTTATAGAGTCATCCATCACTTAATATATTGACACATATTCAAAGTGTATTTATTGTAAAAGACGTGTCAATACACTATTTGTGAATAAGTGTGAGTGACTCCATAAGTAGTGTCATCCGATGGCTCCATAGAAACACTAATCTATGCATTGCATTTATCAATTTTTCACTATCAATTAGATTAACGGGTCATAAATATCTCCTATTGTACTAATCGTACTATTTAGTTGTATAGTCGTGTTTTTTGATGTGTCATGTCAATCATGGACAATTGTATGCCAAAGATGAATTCGGTTTTGAGCTATGAATAAATTATCAATCCCAATACTCAACTTTTTATATCTCAACTAAAATATTAGTTTTAATGAATAAATTTATTCATTAACAAGTTCTGCGTGGCATATGGTGTTCAACTGAATGTTTTAACTTAGGTTGTGGCGACATACTTGAAAAGTCAATCTACATCACTTTAAGGTCTTTCAGTCCAAGGATATATAGTACGAAGATTTTCGTGTGATGCGAGTTCTAGAGATTTTGATGATTTGTTTCCAAATAAGAGTTTAGTGCTCTAGTTAAGTGGTTTGTTAAGGTAATTGATGAATATAAATAAGGCGGGTAATAGATAAATTGAAACTCTAACACAAAATTTACATTCAGTGCTTTATCTTCTTTAGATCGGTTACCTTAATTAACTTGATCGTGAGAGGATTATGGCAGGACTCGTAAGTGAAGTGTAGAATATTTGACTTACTGTTGATATTATTTGATACAACCTTATCAAAATTGAATTTGACAATTACTGATTTTCGCTTGCATATATATAAAGATTTACTTTTTAATTTATCATTTATTTTTTAATTAAAATAGTTTTTCCCCAACTCAATTCAAAACTAAAAATATTAACCGATGTATGAAAAATAATGATTATAGAACCGTGCTCAAATCTGTTACTAGAAACAAAAGAAAAAATTAGATAAAATAGATTATAGCCAACTATAGTCAAATAGTAATTATAAACGTAAACCCTAGAATTTTATTTAATATATGAATATTTTAAGTTTGACTAATCCTAAAACACATTGTTATAATATCGATAAACAGAAATTTTATGGAGCTATCGAATAACTCTTATCTCGTGCATAAAATAGTTCAAGAATCTTTGGAAGCCAGCAGAAAATATTATGGCGTGCTTTTGTGTCCACGTGGCATTAAATAGCAAAATTTTAAACTTATTATTATTCTATAATTATTAAAAGAATTGTAACAATGTGCTCAAAATATAAAGCAATGGAATATCCAATTAGGATTGTACCAGATCAAGCGCGTGACTAGTAATTGGCTAAGGGGCGAGTCACGTGAAATAAGTGTAGGTGGACCACAACTGCAGGTAAACAAAACCCTAGGCCTTGGATGAAATCGAGAGTCCAATTGAATGAGACAGAAATTGGACATGTGGTTGAGAAGGGCTGTGGCCCAAAAAACGATTTTGGGATGACAGATCTGCAAAGCCCATCAGAGTTAATCTCAACCACTCACTTTTCAAGGGCCCACCTCAAATAATTTCAGTACATGGAAATGCATTTTACTTTTACATCCTGATTTAAAAAAATTGCATATTTAGTATAGGTTGTATTTGAATTTCAACATGCACATATAAAATATCTAGAGCCAACTTTTTGTACAAAATATTGTGTTTATTTCAACAAATAAAATTTAATAGTTCTCAGAATTCTCTAAACATACGTGTCAATTTCATGTACCCCTGATGCTATATATCGATTTTTGGTGGTTTGTAATTTTATATGTCAATTTTTTGTAATTTGAAATTTTATGTATAGACATGTACTACTATTCATTCCTATTAGAATTTTTAAAAGTACAAAATAATTGATCAACTTAAACTATAATATATTTTCAAGAATTAATAATTATTGTATTTGTCAACAGATATTAATACATGATATAGTAATTAATCATATATTGACGAGTTTTTTATATCCATATAAATATATATCTATATGCTTACCTTCATAATAAATAATATATTATTTACCAATATTAATTAAAAAATAATTAAATTATTTATAACACATAATTTTCTACCAAATTTTGTATACTACAAATAAGAAAAATAGTATAATACAACAGAGATTAATTATATAAGTGAAAAGTGTCATATTACTTATGCATAATGGTATAAATTTGTAAGAATCGAAATCAAAATATTTTTTTTAACTAGTATCCGTTAATGCACGTATTCAGCTGGTAGGAATACGAATAATATGGATATCTTAATTCTATGTGTTAGCAGACGGGCCCAGTCCATATGTTAGATGGGGCTGGGCCTTATTTTTCTGTGGTGCAAGGTATTTGGGTTCTATTTGTTTTTGTCCGATCTTCATAGCCCAACAGCTGACCTCGTGTAATCCAATATATTATATTTTATGATATTTTTTTGAAATTGTAATGAATAGGAAAATTAATCCACTGTCCAACAATTGCGGAACAATATATAATTTCATGATGCTTTGTTGGTTTTCTAATAAATATTATAAATTCCGATCTCGTGTTCTGTCTTTCAAATGAATAGGACTACAAAAAATTGAATTTAGACAACCATTGATCAAATTTGTTATTTTGTTCCATTCAAACTTTGGAATAGTGTTCAATTACCCATTTGATGAAAATGCTCAATGTTTACATTTTGTTAGGAAATCATTTAAAAGAAAAATGGTTTGGAACAAACTTTGCTTGAAACTTTTAATTAATTCGTGTAAGGATAATCTACATTTCGAGCAAATACCATTGTATATTTATTTTCTTCAGAATTCATTTTCAGTGTTGTTATGAAATATTGGAATCGTTAAATCTTGAGAGATGATACTTATAAGAACCAATTTTTTCGACATTTTTACCTTATTATACTCTTCCCATCAATTTGTAACACCTTTGTTGGCCTAAATAGAGAATTAAAATTAGGTGCACAATCATCTACAATTTCCCGTCCTTTTAAAAAATATAATTACTCACCTAATTAATAGTTTGTTGACATTGTTGTCACATCTTATCTTATGCTCAATTAATTTCGTTCGTCTAAAGTGTGATTGCTTTCACGCAAATGTACATGCTTTACCTTTATTTTTCATACTAAGAATATAACTAAGGGGAAGAGACTTTATTAAAGATTGATGAGGCCCCAATAGTGGAACGCGTTAAAGATTCCCAATGTATATCATTTGGATTTCTTATACATGACGAGTTCATCTTTTGTTAGTGAAGTATAAAGCTTCGATCTTCCTAATCATAGATTATGCTTTAATTGCCAACTAATTTGATTTAACCCTATGAGAGTCAATCTCTTGTACAGTATCTTTAATAAAATCCCTTCAACGAACAATAATTAAATCCTTGCACTATGAATTGTTATTAGTCAAACCAACTAGTATGTGATAACTAGGTTGCAACTAGCTACCTTCAAAATCACTCCTGTCAAGGTTTAATAAATTAGATATTATTTTGTGAGTTAGACTAAATAGTTTGATCTGTTATGGGATTTTTTTTGGATCAAAATACATAATTATATTGATTTTTGAAAAAAAAAAATGTAAATCAATACTTTCTTTTATATTGATTTTTAAGACACGTTACTTGTATATGAAAGTATATATGTTTTTAAAAATAAACCTTACCTTTCGAAAATTAATCTATCCTCTAAGGTCGTCTCGTCAGTCGTCATATTGAATAAGAATGCATATTAAGAAACGCAATTTTTATTTATACACACAACTAGAGTTACATACGAGCTCGAGCTACGAACAAAATTATATTAAAAGTTTTAAACATTACATAAAAATTCTCATTTATCAAGTGAACGAGTCGAACCGCTAATGGGTGGCAATTTTGTTCCAGCACTGCTACACATAACCCAAATCAAACAACAATACACAATTTTCTAAATTCTAAAAACTCACCCAAAAAGAGATAATTTCACAGTTGTTGTACACTAAACGACGTAGGGCCATCCAAATTAAGACGCTTACAGTTAAAAATTAATTAATTAATTATCCAATTAATAATCCAACTACTACCCACTAATTCCCGTTGACTGCTTGACCATCAGTAGCCGCGGCTGACGTGGATGGTACTCCGTCCGCTTTCACCTTCCGCTTCTGGTGCCGGAACAGGAAAACGACGCCGGAGACGACAAGCAGCACGCCGCCGGTTACCCCGCAGACCCCGCTCGCCACGAGCAGTCCCAGCCGCACGCGGTCTCTCCCGTCGCCGCGCGCCTCCCCGCCGGCGCCGGATCCTCCGCGCGAGCTCCACCACGAGTCGCTTATGTTCCTCGCCTCCGGCAACTCCACAGAAGAAGATGCCGTCCCGCCGAAGAACGACAGAGTTCCCCGCGCGTCGCCGTTCTGCTGCGGCGGCGGAGACGGCGAGGTCTCCTGGTAGGCCAGGCCGTGGTCGGAGGGGCGGAGGTCCCGTCCGCCGCAGATGGTTGCTAGGGCGGCGAGCGCGACGATGCCGCATTGCAGCAGATTTCTTTCCATTATCGATCGAAATTAGATTAGGGATTTGGGGTCTGTGAATGCGGGGTTTGATGTGAACTGTGAAGTGAGTAATAGAGTGTGGATGTGTGTGTTTTATATTTTTAATTAAATTAGTACTTTTCTTTAATATCGAATTTGTGGATAATAGGACAGATAGCTCGTGAGTTGCGGCAAAAAGTTGGGTGTATTTATGGGGAAACGACGAAGACAGGATTGTTAAGACTTAAGAGGGATGAAATGGTTGTACATTGTGCTGGGTCTGTTGTACTGCAGTTCAGCTCGGCGCTATGAGTTGAATCGATTTGAAATCAAGCTTGATTTGTTAATTAATCGAATTTATAAACGAGTTTC